TGAAGGAAGGAGATTATGAGTTTGAGACTACCCTGGGATACACAGGGAGACCCTGTCTCAAAAAGTAAAAGATGAATGAAAACAAAAAACAAAGAAAGGAAGAAAGAAAGAAAAGAAAAAAAAACCCAGAAGAAATGAATTTCACATGCCAATGTATATAAATTTATTATTATTATTATTATTATTATTATTATTATTATTACTACTACTACTATTGTTGCATTACAGCATTGAAGACTGAACTTATAGCTTTGTGCCTACTAGGCAAGCACTGTACCATCGAAGCCCTATCCACAGTCCTAGTCCTTTTTAATTTTATGTTGAGAGAGGGTCTCATTATATTGCTCAGACTAGATTTGAACCTGTTCTGCAGTTCAGACTGGCCTGGAGCTTGTGATCTTCCTGCCTCAGCCTCCCACATGTTGGAATTACAGGAGCATGCCACCGCACCTGGCTTCCAAGTATTTGCTTTTGTAACAGTAGAGCGCATCTATGTCATCCTTGAGGTGTCCTGCTATCACCATTGTCATTCTCACTTTGATTCTAATGTGACTTCTCAAGCAAGAATAAAAAGAAAGGGGAGGAGTTTTCTGGGCACCCTCCAAACCTAGGTGCCCACAGGAGGACATAATGCATGGTCCCCACGGGAATGACATCTGCCATGTTTGTTGAATGGGTGAGAGGGAATCTGGTGGCTGTATCAACACTACTGTCTGAATGGGGGTGTACAAGGGTGTGTGGGAATGTGATGATGATGGAAAGGTTTAGGCCAAAGCTGATGGTGGATGGACCAGCAGACAAGAGGGCATGCCAGTGGCAAGAGAAAGAGTGAAGAAAAAACACAGGGTTTGGGGCCAGATACCCCAAGGGCATCAAAACTTGTATGGTGACTGTAATCACAGGGACATGGCCAGGATCAGATACTGAAGGGCTACATGGAGAAGCACCCCTGTGTCAAATGGGCAGTGACTAAAGAGGGGGATGCAGAGCTGGGCTGTGGGGAGGAGGGGCCACTCAGGCAAACTGGTTTGGGTCTCCTTTGAGGACTGGACAGGTTAAGGCATGGCAGAATGGCATCTGGTCCTTGGGAACCATGGTGGTAACCAGACCTCCAGAGACTGGCTGATGTGAGGTTTTAGGAGACAAAATATAAATTCTTTTATTGAAACATAGAATTGGGCCACGGGTGGTGGCACATGCCTTTAATCCCAGCACTTGGGAGCCAGAGGCAGGCAGATCTCTGTGAGTTCAAGGCCAGCCTGGTCTATATAGCGAGTTCCAGGCCAGCTTGGACTACAAGGAGACCCTGTCTCAAAAAACATACAAAAAAAAAAAGAAGAAGAAGCATAGAATTTTTAAACACAGACTGGTTTACCACCTGGAATGCATGGCTGTTCGCCATGATTCCTATAGCCAGCCCACCCCCTTGCAATTTCTGAAATGATTTAGACATTTTCTAAGCTATTGTCCTCCTGTCTCTCTGATGAAAGAAGATGGAAATGGTAATTTCATTTTTCTACTGAGTAAAAAACTTAATAAAGGGACTGGCACTTTGCTTTTTTAACCCAAATTCCACTTCTAATAATATATAATTTGTTAAAAAACTTGAAGTTGTCTATTCTCCATTCTGTTTAGAGCAAATTTAACTTACATGTAAATGTTTAAAAATTCCAGAAACAAGGCCTGTAGGATGGTTCAGAAGGAAAAGTTTTACTAACCATGAAGACCTGAGTCTAATCTGAACCCACAGGGTGGAAGGAGAGAACTGACTCCTGAAACTTCTCCTCTGAACTCTGCTTATGTGCCCTGAGATATGGGTGCCCCCCAACAAACAAAAACAAATGAAAAATGGGATAAAAATGTAAATTCCGCAATTACAGGAATGCTTTAAAAATCTTCTGAAGATGCGGCTTCATCTTTTTAAGAAAATTTTATGGGCTGGAGAGATGGCTCAGTGGTTAAGAGCACTGACTGCTCTTACAGAGGACCAGGATTCAATTCCCAGCACCTACATGGGTGGCTAACGACATCCATTAACTCCAGTTCCAGGGGAATTTGACAACTTCTGACCTCCCTGGGCACTTACACACATTCAGGCAATACACTCACACACACAAAATAAAAATAAATAAATAAAATAAAAAATTTATTGAATTTTTGTGTATTTCAGAACATTTCAATCAATTGATTTCAATCAATTTTAATAATCTTTACACTCCATTCCCCACTGGCACCATCCCATAACACCCCCACTGGAATTCATACATTCTGTCATTGTGTTAAGGCTTATTGTGTCAGGTTAGTGTCCCCAGACATCTTTCAGTACAAGTTCATCTACTGAGATCTAGTCAGCCTATCTAGAATCCCTTGCTTTAGGAAGATCAGCCCTTCCTCACCCAGCAGTAGTTAGTTGCCAATATTTCTTCAGCTGTTCAGATTGGGGTCAGCTGTACATTTCCCCAGATCTATGCTGGGTTTTTGTCTGCTCGAGTTTGCATTGGTCTTGTGCATGCTGGCACCATTGCTGTAGGTTCATATGAGCAGGGTCCCAGGAGCTTGTATAACTCTATTTCTACATGGCCATGCATCTCCTCCTTGGCTCTTACAATCTTTCCACCCCTTCTTCCACAGTGATCCCTGATCCTTGGTTGGGTGAAGTTTAATATAGGAGTCCTGTCTGAGGACCAGCATTCTGCAGACAATCTCTAGGCTTTGAACATTTGTGACTTTTTGTGTTCCTGGCCCTCTGCTGCATGAGGGAGCTTCATTAATGAGAACTGAGAGAGTCATTAGCCCTCTTCTTTACCCTTGTTCTATGTTCCATGAGCCTTAGGTGTAGAGGTTGCATTGTACATGTTTCCCTTAGGCCTGGGCAATTCATAGACAATGCCCATGTGTGACCAGTTGTGGTACTTGGTAATATTCTCTGACTGGTGCAAAACGAGCTTCTTTGATGAGTGGTGACTGAGATATTTGTCTGTAAATATAAGGATCTATATTTTGCACATAGTAAGAAATTATATTAGTTTAGTGACATGACAGTCTTGGGGTTTTCTCTAAGATCTATGACCTCTCCAGCCATGTGTATTTGGCTGTTTATTTACAGTACCACACATGAGTTTTCTCCCACTGAGAGGGTTTTAATCCAATTAGGTAGCTGTTGATTGCCCCCAAGATAAAAGTGCCACGAAGGCACCATTGTTGTATGCTGTACTGATCATTAATGTGGTTGTTTGGTCTTGAAGGTGGTGTTGGACCATTGATTGGTGTTTTCTCGTATGGTGCTCTCCAAAGCTATGAGAGCTAGCCTCCAGGGGAAGTGACTTCCAGGTCAGTTCCTGCTCCACTACTCCAAATCCTGTGTCCCAAGTATGTTCTGTCTTCAGCAGTAGGATTTTACCTTCAAGTTCTGTGAGTCAATCAAGGGCTGTGGCAATAGCCTGTGTAATTTTGGGAGCCTCTTCGACCAACCTGGCCGACAACTCAAAGCAAGGTTTCTCCTGTCTGGCACTGTTTCTTGTTATGTAGCCTTTAGCTATACACATGGACTGATGCAATATAGTGCACGTATAATTTGTCGTTAGGTTGTTGAACTAATATGATTTCTTCTGGTTTTTTACACCAGCTAAGGTGAGGAAGGGCTGATCTTCCTAAAGTGAGGGACTCTAGATAGGCTGACTAGACCTCAGTAGATGAACTTGCACTGAGGGACATCTGGGGTTGTTATTTATCTCTCCTTTCTCTCTCCCTATCTAACCCTTCTGTCATGGCTTCCCCATTTAAAGTGTCCTCATTCTCCCCATTTCTTCCTTGATAATACCAGTTTCCTATGGTCCCATCTCTCTTGAGCTCGTTCTTTCTCTTTATCTCCCAAGTTCTTTGTATAACCCTTTCTCCTCCCTATCATTTAAATACCCCATTTTATTCATTTCCCCTTAGTAACACATGTATCCTACTGTTCTTCTCTCTCGGGTTCCTTCTTTTCCTTTACCTCCCTGGTTCCTTTTCATTATCCTGCTTCCTGCAACTATATCATGATACATATAAGGATTTGGTGCTAGGATCCACATATGAGGAAGAACATATGTCATTTGCTTTTTTGAGCCTGTTTTACTTCACTTAGTACAACAGCTTCTAGTTCCATCCATTTACCTGCAAACTTCATGATTATGATTTCGTCTTTCTTTACTGCTAAGTAGAACTCCATTGTGTAAATGTACCACATTTTCATTATCCACTCATCAGTTACGGGACACTTAGGTTGCTTCCATCTCTTAGATCTTGTGAAAAGAGCAGCAATAAACATGGATTTACAAGTATCTCTGCAATAAAATGAGTCCTTGGGGTGTATGCCAAGGAGTGGTATAACTGGGTCAAATGGTAGGTTTATTTTTAGTTTTTTTAAGAGTTCTCCACACTGCTTTCCATAGGGATTGCATGAGTTTGCAATCCCACCAACTGTGAGTGAGCATTCTCCTTTCACAACATCCTCTTCAGCATTGGTATCATTTTTTCTCTTGAGCTTAGACAGTCGGATTAAGGTAAGATGAAATATTAAAGTGGTTTTAATTTGCATTTACCTAATTACTAACGACGTTGAACACTTTTTTAGATGTTTCTTGCCATTTTTATTTCTTTTTGTTGAGAACTCTCTGTTTAGATCCTTAGCTCATCTTTTAATTGGATCACTTGCTTTCTTGATTCTTTCTTTTTTGAGTTTGTAAAAACATATTCTGGATGTTAAACCTCTGCCAGATGTATCACTGGTGAACATTTTCTCCTACCCTACAGGTTTTCTCTTCGTTCCTTGGTTGTTTCTTTTGCTGTACAGAAGCTTTTCAGTTTAATGAGGTCCCATTTGTTGACCTTAATTCCTGATCAATTGATGTCTGATTTAGAAAGTCCTTTCCTATATCTATATCTTGTAGGTTACTGCCAAGGTTTTCTTCTAACAGTTTCATAGTTTCAGGTTTGACGTTGTGGTCTTTGATCCACTTGGAGTTTACTTTTGTGTAAGGTGAAAGATAAGGATCTAGTTTCATTCTTCTACAGGTGGAGATATAGTTTTACTAGCACCATTTGCTGAAGATGCTGTCTTTCCTCCAGTGAGTATTCTTGGCCCCATTATCAAATACCAGGTGGCTGAAATTGCATGTACTCATGTTTAGGTCTTCAACTATGTTCCATTGATCTACAGGTCTATTTTTGTGCCAGTATTATGCTGTTTTAGTGACTAGAGCTCTGTAATACAATTTGAAATCTGGTATAGTAATCCCCCCAGCATTGTTCTTTGTGCTCAGGGCTGCTTTGACTATCCAGGTTATATGAATTTTAGGATTTTTTTCTAATTCTGTGAAGAATGTCATAGGGATTTTGATTGGCATTGCATCAAAATCTATAAATGGCTTTTGGTAGAATGGTCATTTTCACAATATTAATTTTTCCAATCCATGAGCATGGGAGGTCCTTCCATCTTCTGATGTCTTCCTCAATCTCTTTCTTTAAAGATTTCAAATTTTCATTGTAGAGATCTTTAATGTCTTTGGTCAGGTATATTCTGAGATAATTTAATTTTTTTGACGCTATTGTTAATGGGAAGGTTTCCCTGTATTCTTCTCCAATTGCATGTTAATCATTTCTAGAAGTTTTCTGGTGGAATTTTTGTCATCTCTTAGGTATAGTATCATATCATCTGCAAAAAGGGGTAATTTGGCCTCTTCTTTTCTGTTGCCCCTTGGGTATAGTTCTTCCTTTCTTCAGCTCTTTGTATTGCTTCATGAATTCTCTAAAGGCTGGTTTTGTGGACATGAATTCTTTCAGCCTATTCATGTCGTGGAAGACTTTTCTTTCCCCTTCAACTATAATAGACATTTTTGCTGGACAAAGTATCCTGGGTTGACATCTATGGTCATTTAGAACTTGGACTACTTTGGTCCAGACTCTTCTGACTTTTTTAGTTTGCATTGAAAAGTCACTTGCAATTCTGATGGGTTTTCTTTTTTAAGTGACTTGTTTCTCTTTTACAGTTTTCGGTATTCTCTCTTTGTTCTATACATTCAGTGTTTTTACTATGATGTGCCGTGGGGAGTTTCTTTTTCTGGTCCTGTCTATTTGGTGTTCTATGTACTTCTTGTATTTTTATGGGCACGTTTTTCTTTAATTTTGGGAAATTTTCTTCTACAATCCTGTTGAAGATCTGGCCAATACCATTATCCTGAGATTCTTCTCCTTCCTCTATACCTATGATGTGTAAATTTGGTCTTTTCATGGTATCACACATTTCCTGCATATTCCATTCCTGTGTTTTAAAAAAATTTCATAATCTTTACTTGAGGTCCAATTCTTCAACTCTACTGTTCAGTCTTGACATTCTGATTTTCATGTCATTCATTCTATTGGTGAGGTTTTCTCCTGACATTTCTAATTGGCTTATTGTGTGTTTCACTTCCTTCTTCATTTCAGACTGAGTTTTCTTCAATCTTTCTGTCTCCTCTGTGAAATCAGTCAGAAGTTTGTCCCTATCTTCTTTTAGTTCTTTGATTTGTTTGTGTGTTCTTTAAATTCATTGAATTCTTTGATTATGTTTATGATTGTTCTTTTAAATTCTGTGTCCTGTATTATCTCTCGGGGTTAAACTCTTCTATAGGACTCTTGGTGTTTGGTGTGAGCATATTCGAGTTTTTCATATTATTATTGTTTTGTTGTGATTTTGGCATTTGAATTTCTTTTGTTGTTTATGATTCTGGTGTAAGACTCAAGTATTCCTTTGTTGAGTTGAAGTCAGTTTCTGTTTGTATACTTGATGTGCCTTGGTTGTTTTCTTGTTAGGTATGAAAAGCTTGTTGGTTTAAACTTCAGGTTCTCTCATTTGATTCTATATTGGAGGGAATATTGGAATATTGGACTCTAGTTCAGCTATCCAGGAGTTTCCAGCACAGGCCCAAGTTGGGTGAGAATCAGATGCTGTCAGGCTTCATCCTAATGTCTGCTTGCCTCTTGCCAGCAGGCACAGCACAATGTGGGAAGCTTTCTAGGTGGAGTATAGATTCAGGAAATCTCAGGTAGTCTGCAAAAGTCTGTTCCCCTACTAAAACAGGGAAGCCTAGCCCTGCCACAGTGGGAGTGGCTGTAGGTGATCCTAATGTAGTGGGATGGGCACAGCATGATTTGGAAAGCTCACCATTAAGCAGAGGCCAGATTCAGGCACTTTCAGGCAGTCTGGAAAGTTCTGGGCCCCTACTAAAGGACAGAGAAGCTTAGCCCTGCAGCAGTGGGAGGGGCTGCAGATGATCCCAATGGGCACTGTGCGATTTGGAGAGCTCACCACCATGTGGAGCTAAGAGGGTAGTCCAATGATGCAGGGTGCTAGGATGCAAAAGCGGGCTTCTGCCCCAGGCTAGAAGGAGAAGAGGATGTGGGGGTGGGAGATTGGAGTTGCTCAGACTGTAAGGAAGTCAAGGTGCTTTTGAGGCTTCATCTTATGGTATCAAGGATGAGTTAACTTTTTGGAAGAAGAAAGAGCCATGAAGATTTCTGACCTCCTCCAAACACATTCTTCCCCAGCAGCAATTATGATCTATGAGGCAAATCAGGGTAAGATTGTTGCTATTTTTTTTGACAGACGATGGTAACGGCCTCTCAAACTGAAGTTGAAGAAGAATAAGACCCAATGTTAACAGTGTGACATAGCCTAGAGTCATCTGAGAGGAGAGTCTCAATTGAGAGATTTCCAGAAAAGATTGGCCTGTTAGGTCTGTGGGGGATTGTCTTGATTGTCAATAGATGTAGGAGGGCCCAGCCCACTGCTGCCAACACCATTCCCTGGGCAGGTGGTCCTCAGCTGTATAAGAAAGCTAGGAATGAACCTGAGTGGGTGAGCCAGCAAGAGAAACTAGAAGCTCTAGTTTCTGCTTCAAGTTCCTGCCTTGATTTTCCTCAGTGATGGACTGTATTCTTTAAGCTAAAATAAACCCTTTCCTCCACTAAGGGTTTTGATCAGAGTGTTTTCTCATAACAACAGAAAAGAAACTAGAACACATTCTATAGAAGAAATTATCTATCAACCCTAGCACTCTATGAGACACCCTGCCTCAAAAAAATGAGCATGTTGGAGAACGAGATAGAAGATGACACCTGATGTTGACCTGGCCTTTACATGTGCACACACGGGTGAGTACATGCCCCCGAATGCACATGCACACACATGTATCTCCAACTATTTGTTACATATGTAATATAAATT